AACCTTTATGATTAAGGCTATAGCCTAAAAAGACACAAGCTTTGCTTCTCGGATCAAGTTTAGAGGAAGTGTAAGGTTGGAGCCAAGGATAACACCTACAACCGAAAACTTTCAAAGTTGTGTAATCTGGGGGTTTATGAAACAAGATTTCCCAAGGAGAGAGTTTACTACCAGTAGGCATGCGATTGATGAGATAAAGAGCCGTGGAGAAGGATTCAACCCAATAAGAATGAGGTACTTGAGATGCTGTAAGAAGAGTCCGAGCAATTTCGACTAAATGCTGGTGCTTTCTTTCAGCACACCCGTTTTGTTCTGGAGTATGAGGGCAGCTCAGTTGATGAGAGATCCCATGTGTCTTCAAGAAATCAGAAAATTGATGATTAACAAACTCTCCACCAGAATCAAATCGCAGAGTAATAACCTTGAAACCCAAGAGATTTTCAACCACAGATTTGAAGTGAACAAAGGTACTGAAAAGCTCAGATTTATATTGCAGTGGAAAGAACCATGAATACTTGGAAAAGTCATCAACCAATAGAAGATAATACCGAAATCCATTAACAGAAGAAACGGGCGCAGGACCCCATACATCAGTATGCAACAGCTTAAGAGGCTTAGTTGTTGTACAAGAGACAGAGGTAAATGGTTTGCGAGAACATTTGCCTAAAGCACAACTAGAGCATACAAATTTATGAATGTGATATGAACAAGAGATACGAGACTGAGAGCCTAGTTTATGTAAAATCTTGAATGATGGATGGCCTAAGCGTTGATGCCAAATGCCCTGAGGAGCTGTAGTACTGGTCACATAAGCTTGATGATTGTCTGCAACAGAAGGTGCAAGAAAAGGATAGAAGCCAGCTTTGACAGGACCCTTAAAAAGCTCCTTCCCCGAAGTAAGATCCTTCACAAGGAAGTGAAAAGGATATAGATGAATGGAGCACCAATTATCAACTATAAATCGATTGGCAGAAATCAAATCTTGTTTCAGATCAGGAACATGCAACACATTGTGCAAATTAAAAGTATGAGTAGAGGTAGGAAGACAAGAAGAACCAGAATGAGTGATAGGCAAACCTTTGCCATCGCCAATATAAACTTGATCAGGACCACTGTAGGGTTCAGGACTTTGAAGATTTGTATACGAGTTGGTCATATGAGAACTGGCACCGGTATCAAGAAGCCATGTGGGAGCATTGGAAGCAGTGGAAGGAGTGAAAGCATTGGAAGCAGTATTCGCATGATATGCAGTTTGTGAATGCTTGGTACCATAGTTAGGATTCAGACGATGCGGACAATCAATAGCCTCATGATCAGATTGACGGCAAAATTGACAGGAAGGTCTGCGGTTGAAGTTGTGGAAATTAGGTTTGGATCCACGATTATTCTTCTGTTGACCTTGGCGAGAGAAATACTGACCTTGGCGAGAGAAATTCGGACCTTGGCGACTGAAAGTCTGACCTTGGCGAGAGAAATTCTGAAAATTTCTAGGATGAGAAAAAGTCCGATCGAAGCCACGGCCATGAGAAGAAACAAAGTACGCCTGAGAAGAAGAATCAGCAGGTGGTGTAGGGAGAAGACCAGCAGAGGAATGATATGCTTGAAATGGCACTGAGGAAGAAACCTTCTTGCGATTTGCCAATTGAATCTCCTTACTAAGCAATAAGCCATGTAACTCATCAACAGTAGTGGAACCAAGACGAAATTGAATAGTATCAACAAAAGCATCATATTCAGGCGGTAAGCCATGAAGAAGAACAGAGATGAGTTCCGAATCAGCAATCGGAGCACCAGCAGTCGCAAGAGCATCCGCAATTTCTTCAATTTGTTGAAGATAAGCAGCCGCAGTGGAATCACCTTTGGTAATCGTGTGAAGGCGAGAGCGCAGTTCATGAATATGTGATTGCGACGCTGTAGCAAGACGAGATTCCAGTTTTGCCCACAGATCTCGAGCAGAGGTAACACCAACAGTGTAGGGAATCAGAGAATCCGAGAGTGTCGAATTGATCCAGATCAGAATGTTTTGATCATTCTCAAACCAGGTGATATATTGAGGATTCACAGTCGAAGTGCGATTTCCTGAAGAATCCAGAAGATACATGGGCGGCGCCACCAGAGATCCATCAATGAGGCCGGTGAGATTGTACCGACGAAAAATGGGTGCAAATAAAGCACTCCAGGTGATCCAATTTGTAGTTGTGAGTTTAATCGGAACCAGCGAACCAATATTCTGAATAGTGATCGAACTGATCGAATTAGGGCACGAATTTGGGGCCGAAGAATCTGCAGAAGATGGCTGCGAGGTAGAATCAGAGGGAGACGAAACCGCCATTGTTGGTAGCGACAAGAAGCAAAAGGAGAGAACACAGAGAACGCAGAGAACGCAGAGAGACGAAGGATCGTCGGAGGTCGTTAGACACCGGCGAGTGATACCATGTGAGAGTTTAGAGAGAGAGAGATTTAGTAAGAAAGTTTAGAGAGAGAGAAGAAATAAAATTGTGAATTATATTTCTGAATAATATTACACTTGGTATTATATATACCATCATTTACATATGTTCTCACTACTTATCTTAATAGCTAAGTAAAGTAAAACAAACTTATCACAACTTTACCTAACTACCCTTAACAAATATAAAATTTGCTAAGTATTATTGGGTTACGAGAATTGTTAAAAGACAATATTCTTGGGTTATTTAACTCAGAATGTAAAATATTAACATAATATATATATATTGGATCATGAAATTTAAAGTGGTTAAGGAAAGTTATATTATATTAGCTATAGAAATCATGCACTACAGTCAATAACATTGATCTAAGTTTTGTCCGATAGGGAACATGGTTTGTGTTAATTTTACATATATAAAATAAATGGGTAAATGGTTACCCGTTTATAACCACGATTAATACCCATAACCGTCAATTTAAATTTCACGGGTAAATGGTTATACCCATAACCGTTTATTTATCTAAACAGTTATCTATAACCGTAACCGTGAAATTTAAATGAACGGATAACCACGACCATCCAAACCAATGGATATTTATTCATCCTAGTTGTATCAAAACTAAACATATCAAGTCTTACGTACAAATGACTGAGCTGTGATGCACTTAATAAATGGATCACTAAAACCTTAAACAAGAAGAAAAGATCAAATCGGATTGATCAACCACTATCGTGTGAGCCAACCCACCTCTATGAAGTTGGGACACTTGGAACGGCTTTCCGAGGCAGTAGCCACACCTTCGCCGTCTGGAGCCCACGCTTTTTCAATTATGATCATCCATTCTCTCTCCAGTACATTGCAGATTATAGGGTTTATCACATTCTTTCTTTCTACGCCAAATTCCACATATATATGATTGCATCATGTATGTACGTGTGGTTCTAAAATGATGACGTATCAATTGCATCCAAGTCGTTACCCTAATTACTAGACGTTTCTTCACCGGTTTGGATTAACAAACCAAACTTCAAGTAGCTGGTCAAAGACGGGTGGCACCTGTTGTTACTTAAGATGTAGGGACAACTGGAGGAACTTCCATGTGCCATGTGGGGGTGCATGATCCATAATTGTACTTGACCAAACTATCGACCTTACAATAGAGTTTTTTCTCCATTAATATGACGATCTTGAAATAATATTGGCAGCTCTCCTGCCCACCAAACTCTATGTGAACTTTAATAATTATAATTAACTTAGGATGTAATTTTATTTTGATAATTAATCATTTACTTATAATAATATTAGCAGGAAGTTGGAAAGTATGGAAGGTGAGGTGGGTGAATCAAAGCCAGCACATGCATATGCAAGAAACTGCAACTTTTAGCGACCATCAGAAAGTCACTTCGTATAACGACAACCCACAATCATTACAGCGAGATATTTTTCAATCTAAAATATAAAATGGTATATCACGTGTTATTATAAAAATATAAAATATTTATGTTAAAAAAAATTAATAACTTAAAAAATAAAATTTCTCATCACTTACACGTAATGTACTACCCGTATTACAGTTACAATGAAGCTTTTGTCCACCATAGCATGAATGGCTGATTTGGTATTGTTGTGCTTTGAAAAAAAGCTGCTGTGAGAATAAGCGGTTGTGCTGTGAGAATAAGCGGCTGTGAAATAAAGCCAGTAGAGTGTTTGGTAAACTTTTTTGTGAAAGTGCTTTTGGAAAAAAAAGCAGGATGATAGTGTGTCTTTTCATTAAAGGAGCACTGTAGCTCCGTGTGCTTTGAAAAAATTGGCTTTTTTTCAAAGCAGCAAATAGCAGCTTCAGCTTTTCCTTTGATTTTCAGCTTATTCTCACAGCAGCTTCCAAAATAAGCTTTTTTTTTTCAGTTTACCAAACACAAAAATGACCCTCAGCTTTTTTTCACAGTGACTTTTTTTAAAATCATCTCAATCCCAAACGGGGCCGAAATCAACCTTCCAATATCAGCATCCCATTGGCCCTATGTACGAATTATTGTGCGCGCTCTTTTTTTTTTCATTCTTTCTTAACGGCAAAGGATCCTCGTTTGGGGATTATGAGAATTTCGTGATCGTGATAGTTCTTCGTATATCGTGTGATCAGAAATTATTTTAAAATTAAAAATTAAAATAAATATAAATAGTATCTAACGAAAACTGATCACATAATATACGATGAACGGTTACAATCACGAAATCCTCTTGATCCCTAAGAAACCTTTCTTAACAAGCAATTTGTCATGATTTTTTTTAATAAACCACTTCAATCAAATACTGCCCTCCTTCTCTTTCCCTTTACCTTGTTCCACCGAATTGTATTCCTATTTTTATATATTTTTGTATATATATAAGTCAGTTCTGTGAGAGTAGTTGTCCCATTCAATCATTTTAGTTGAGAAGTTATCCTTTAGATCTGAGCCTGAGAGCATCCACTACTCACTACAATGGGGGAAAAGGAAAAGGTACGCAATATTTGGTATAGTTTGTGTTCTCTTCATTTTTTCTTCTTCTGAGGATAAGCAGATAACCAAAATGATGATTTGTATGGCTAAAACTAAAAGGCTTTAAGCTCTTGTTTAAGTTTTGTGGTTCCTATTCTTTTATTTATATCCTAATAAGAATCCAAGTCCCCTCCTCTGTGCTATTTTGTTGTTTTTTTCCCCTCTCTCTCTCTCTCTCTCTCTGTTACTGACTTTGCCACATACCTTCATCATGATTCTTCCCAGTCAGTCAGTAAGAACCCTGATTGTCCAGCAGCACTGTTCCACTTCTTTTTGTCTACACTTTTGCACAACAATCTTCTGTATTATTTATACATTTTCTGAATATTCATTCTTGTCAATATTTGGTTAATGTACATATTTTTTCTATTAATATTAATATGGGTAATTCAGGTTACGATTATGGTGCTGAAGGTGGATCTTCAGTGTCACAAATGCTACAAGAAAGTCAAAAAAGTTCTTTGTAAATTCCCTCGTGAGTCTCTCTTCTCCTTGCTTCATTTATAATTATTTGATGAAAAATCAAAAGTTCTACCTTTTTGGAAAATTAAGATTAATTGTAGACTAAGTAAATTAATGTGTGTTTGTGAACAAGAGAAATACGAGACCAGATATACGACGAGAAGCAAAACCAAGTGGTGATCAAAGTGGTATGCTGTAGTCCAGAAAAGATAAGAGACAAGATTTGCTGCAAAGGTGGAGGTGCCATAAAAAGCATCGAGATCAAAGAGCCAGAGAAGCCCAAGCCACCGCCGCCGGTTGAGAAACCACCTCCCGAAAAACCTAAACCGGCTCCACCGCCTCCCGAAAAACCTAAACCGGCTCCACCGCCTCCCGAAAAGCCTAAACCACCTCCTGAAAAACCTAAACCACCGGTGGAGCCAGTGAAGCCTTGTCCTCCTCCTATGCAGCCGGTTCCTTGTGTGCCAGGGTACCCACCGCCTGTCCGAACATGTTGTACGGATTGTTACCATGGGCATGCAGGTGGGCCATGCTACAGTGGTTATGGTGGGGGACCACCCCCGTACATCCAGTATGATGGTTACTATGGGAGGCCAGTGTATGACAGTTACGGCGGTGGCAGCAGGGGGTATTGTGAAGAAAATCCCTCAGCTTGCACAGTCATGTAAATCATTGATCATCTTGTTGGGCTGTGACACCTTCTTCAATCTCGGGATAATATTTTAGCAGTGTTTGTTGTTTGATATTAATAATATACGAGGGCCGTATATTGTTAAGTGAATAATAAAGTTGGTTGTTGATCTTGGTGGTTGTCAAGTCACAATCATGTTAGTCTATTCATTTTATCATTAATATAGACCACAGAGAGAAAGAGAGACATCCCTTCATAGTTGGTGCGTGCTACAATTTTCAATGCAATTGAAGTTTCCATTCCACATTCCCTTCTTTGTCCTGCACAGTGCACATGCCTTCTTATTAGTTATTTCCTATTTCGCAAGTTGATTTTCATCAACCACTAATAAGCGATTGGTCAAGACTAGAATTGAGGAGGTGTGAACAGAAGAATCTAGCTACTTATCTTTCTCATTTATTAAGTGTAACATGAATTCTATTAACAAAAACAAAAATTTGATTTCTTTTAAAAAACTCATTATTATTTTTGTATATTGACCTTTATTTGCAAAAGCTAACCTTTTTTCTCTCCTACCAGATTCAACTCTGTTCTAATCTAAACTATATATTTTTTTCTTTCTTTACCAAAAACAAAGAGGGAACAAGGGCTTGGATTATGTTTATTTTAATAAAAAATTATTTTATAACTTTATTTAATTAAAAAGACTTAAATTTTGATAAAAATGACAAAAAACTTAAATTTTAATGAAAATGACATTATTTTAATATTAAAAAAAATATGACGCACGGACCCACGCATCCTCACACAAACTGTTTATGAAATTTAATGGTACTACACTATTTATAAAACTACATGTGCAAAGAAGGCCTACTGACGCTCTGATTAGAAGATGCGACTATGGGACATAGGTTCAGGGCCGAAGGGGTAGAGGAAGACCTAGGAAAACTTTGAGAGAGACCCTAAGAAAAGACTTAGAGTATTTGGATCTAACGGAGGACATGACATAGCACAGAACACAATGGCGTTCTAAGATTCATATAGTCGATCCTACTCAGTGACTTGGATTTTCCAAGTCTCCAACCGAGAAGTTGTCCTCGCTCGGGAAATTAAGGGAACACTACCTCAACCTACATGCTCCACTCACAAAGCTTCAACATACAAGCTTCAACAAAAGAAAATTCAAAGAACTTAGCGAAGAATGCTTTGGTGATTTAACACAATACATTGAAATGAAGGAAAGTTTATTTATTGATATCCCCGATAAGTTACAAATATGTACATATACTTGAGCCAAAATAAACAAACAAGAGGGAGCCTTCACAAAGGTTGCTTAGGAGAAGTCTCAGCAGTCGGTAGAGCCCCAGAAAGAGAAGGCACCGGAGGGGGATCATTCGGAGCCTCAGTACTTGACAGAACCCTAGAAGGAGGAGGCATCAGAGGTTGATCATTTGGAGCTTCATTACGCGGTACAGCCCCAGAAGACGAAGGCAATAAATGCCTTTGGAACAAACCCACAAATCTCTGATGATCAAGTAAAACCTGACCATCAGATTCCTTCATCTGGTCAAGCTTCCTCTTCATGTTTGTAGCATAGTCATGTGCGAGTCGGTGCAACTGTTTATTCTCATGCTTGAGCCCTCTAATCTCCTGTTTGAGACTCATCACTTCAGCAGCCAATGATTCAACTTGGCGGGTTCGAGCAAATAGGCGTTGGGCCATATTAGACACAGAACCTGCACACTGAACACTAAGAGCCAGAGAATCCTTAACAGCCAACTCATCAGGCCGTTTGGAAAGTAGTCTGTTATCTTTGGGAGTGAGAAGGTTCCTGGCCACTATCGCAGCGGTCATATCATTCTTCATCAAGGAATCCCCAACGGTAAGAGGACCAGTAGGGGAGACGAAGGATGGGCGCCATATGTTGTCTGGAGAAGGCGGGGCTGCCTCTTCAACAAGGTTCAAGTCAAAACGACGGTCAAAACGACGGTACAACAAGGTTCAAGTCAAAGGGTCGGAGGCCATACATTTTCAAAGGTGTTGAAGAGAGAAGAGGTCGAACAAATCAAGATCTTAGAAGTGCAAGAATGGAGCTTCTACTGGTGGATATTCAAGTGTGCTTTGGAACTTAATGTCAGCCCCTATAAAAATCTGCACTCGACGAAGCTTCAGAAAACGAAGAGGCGCCTGCTCAGAAATCGAAGAGGCGTTTGCTTTCTCAAAAGCTGGGCGGCTCAGAGACCACGAGGGTCGATCTCAGAAATCGAAGAGGCGTTTGCTTTCTCAAAAGCTGGGCTGCTCAAAGACCACGAAGGCCGATCTCAGAAATCGAAGAGGTTTGCTTTCTCAAAAGCTGGGTTGCTCAAAGACCACGAGGGCCGATCTCAAAAATCGAAGAGGCACCTACTTTTCCAGCCTTGTCAGCACCTGTCACACGCACTCAGCTTTGCGGAAATTATGGGCATTCTGTCGAAGATTTCTGGCGAAGTAGAAAGCACATGAATCGTACTGTTCAATCACCCACTTCCCACACACAACAGTAGCTCATGGGTACCACATATAACTTTGCCAAAGTTCACTGACAAAGTTGAGACTACTTTTCCAGCCTTGTCAGCACCTGTCACACGCACACTCAGCTTTGCGGAAATTATGGGCATTCTGTCGAAGATTTCTGGCGAAGTAGAAAGCACATGAATCGTACTGTTCAATCACCCACTTCCCACACGCAACAGTAGCTCATGGGTATCACATATAACTTTGCCAAAGTTCTCTGACAAAGTTGAGACACGTGAAGCTTGCAGCTCTCACTACATCGCTCTGACCAAGAAGGGTAAAAGAATAGCAAAGAAACAACACTAACAAAGTTTAGATACATAAATTTTTGAAGGCCTAGCTACCATATTATTACCACAAGGGGTAAAGGAACAGTACCACTGCTAGATAATTGGAAAGTCCCGGTGTGTCAACCTCTGTGCTTCGTGGCAAGGTAGACTAGCAAACATGCCCAACCTTTACTCACATTCGAGAAAACACTCCCAACAAGATTGCTTGCACCAAAATCGAAGAGGCATCGCCCTCCGAATCTCGAGAGCCAGACTCCCAACATGATTACTTTCTCAAAAATCGAAGAGAGGGTAAAGGAACAGTACCACTACTGGATAATTGGAAAGTCCCTGTGTGTCAACCTCTGTGCTTCGTGGCAAGGTAGACTAGCAAACATGCCCAACCTTTACTCACATTCGAGAAAACACCCCCAACAAGATTGCTTGCTCCAAAATCGAAGAGGCACCGCCCTCCGAATCTCGAAAGCCAGACTCCTAACATGATTACTTTCTCAAAAATCGAAGAGAGGGTAAAGGAACAGTACCACTGCTGGATAATTGGAAAGTCCTTGTGTGTCAACCTCTGTGCTTCGTGGCAAGGTAGACTAGCAAACATGCCCAACCTTTACTCACATTCGAGAAAACACTCCCAACAAGATTGCTTGCTCCAAAATCGAAGAGGCACCGCCCTCCGAATCTCGAGAGCCAGACTCCCAACATGATTACCTTCTCAAAAATCGAAGACACCGCTCTCCGAATCTCGAGAGCCAGACCCCCAGCATGATTGCTTTCTCAAAAATCGAAGAGGCATTGTTCTCCGAATCTCGAGAGCCAGATCCCCGACATGATTGCTTGTTCGAAAACCGAAGAGGCACCACTTTCCCAACTTCAAGAGCCGGATCTCCTTGGATAAAGCTTGTCTGTAATCTTCACACGCAACATCAGCTTTCCAGATACCATAGACCACTTTTTCAAAGTGCTCTGACAGAGTTAAAACTTGTGAAGCTGGCAGCTCCCACTACCGTGCTATGACCAAGCATGGTAAAGGAATAGCATTATTACTTGATGTTAGGGAGACTCCTATATATGTCGACCTTCATCCCCAACGGACAGGCAGACCTGCAAAAATGCTCAACCCTTCCTCTTATCTGAGAGGGCACTCCCAACGAAGCCTTTCGAAATATTCAGTTTTCTTTCCCCCCGATAATACCTCTGTAAACAAGCTATACTAGAGCAAGAATATCTCATATCATCAGGGTTAAAAGCAAGAGTATCCCATATCATGCTTTTTCCCTGTCTTTTCCTTTGGCCTTGTTCTTACCTGCAAGACAAGGAGAAAGAGAGCAATCAGTCATCACTTGGAATCAAGCTTCCAGCCAGGAACTGACTGTCTGGAACCCCTTACCTGATTACTTACCTGGCATTGCTCTCGAGTACTCATCTTCAACATCTTATGCTTCTAGGGAAGATACCGCATCTGTCTGAGGAACAGATAGGGCAAGTGAGAAGGATACAAGGAAGCATGTGGAGACAAGCGTAACAGCACACGTGCCGATACATCCACTACTCTGTCAAAAGCAAAAGTATCCCATATCAGCAGGGTCGAACGTACTCTATATTTGATGGACTTGTTTTGACCCTCAAATTCTTCAGTCGGCCTTATACTCTGGAGGAAACCAGAAAACCCTCCAGCCCAGTTCAAGAATAAGCCTGTGGAAAGTTACTTCTTCAAAAGCAAAAGTATCCCATATCATCTCTTCTCATTTTTCTTCTCTTTATCCTTCATGCTGCCTGCAAGATAGGGAGAATGTGAACAATCAGTCGGAGCTCTGATTGCTTACTTTGTCTGTTACCTCTTTCAGCAGATCCCCTAGCTCGGCGACTTGGGGGACTCCTACTACATGGTTTGTATCGCGCTTGACCAAGCCTGAAACTACAAGTAAGCTTCAAGTGACATTGATACATTACCTTGTGCATCTCCACCAGTTACAGATACCACCCCTGGATGGAGGAAGAGTACTTCCAGAGAAGATGCCACATCTACCTATGAGACATATAAGGAAAGTTAAGACAATACCACACTCCGGTACTTAGAAGTTTCGTGGTTACGAGATCATTCTTCCACAATATTTCCTAATGTCATTTGTACTAAATCATTCACTTGTACTCCCTAAAGGAGAGCTTGAACCTATGTACTTGTGTAAACCCTTCACAATTAATGAGAACTCCTCTATTCCGTGGACGTAGCCAATCTGGGTGAACCACGTACATCTTATGTTTGCTTTCCTATCTCTATCCATTTATATACTTATCCACACTAATGACCGGAGCAATCTAGCGAAGATCACAAAAAGTGACCGTTTTCGCTACCTAGGATTTATCTTGCAAGAGAACGGAGAATTAGATGGAGATCTCAACCATAGAATGCTGGATGGATGAAGTGTAAGAGTGTATCCGGCGTGTTGGGTGACCGTCGTAGGCCACTG